TTTTTTGACTCTCAAAGCCGTGATTCCCATCCACTTGCATTATTAGACTGACAGACTGCAACGGTTTGAGTTAAAAATCTTCGTTTGTGTTCTACTGAAGAAACAAAGTCACCTACATCTTGGATGCCCTGGGGGTAAGCAGATAAACATCAAATTTCCATTTTTGGGTGAACTATCCCTTTAAATAAAAGACTCATTATTCCACCTGAATACTGCAGCAGTCAAAAAAAGAACGAAGAAAAAAAATTAAATATCACAAGCCTCAGGAGAAACAATTGGTTTATTAATAATACGTCTAGTCAGCGGACATTCTTTACAGTGTGCAATATTTCTCCGGCGCTCTCCTTCAGTGTTAAATGCTGACGGCCCGTCATGCTATATGCTCCACCGACCTGATGGAGTCCAAGCCATTCCATCTAGAACAGGGTGGAGTCATGGAAAGTTCATAAGGCCGTACGGAGGAAATATTTCCCACGCACACCATCACTCACTCACACACGCACACAATCCACACTACAGCCACGCACCTCGGGCATGTGCCTGTGGAATGAAAAACAAATTGAGTTATAAAAAACCACCTCAACCCTTATAAGACAAGCTCTCCATCCCAGAGCAAAAGAAAAAAAAAAAAAGCGTCTGTGCCGTTACAGTATTCAAAATGACACTGTGCCCTTTAAATATGGAACTGTGCCTTGATTGGTCCTTCGTTTGTGGGCGTGGTCTTCAGGGCGGTGAGGTAGTGGGTGTGGTCCAGTTCCTGTCATCATGGAGACGGGTCTGTCCTTGGTCGTCGGGATAAATGATCTCCTCCAGCGTCACGTAGGTCCCTGTCAGGAAGCCGATGAAGCCGAGGGCGGCGATGGAGAGGTCTTTGAGGAGCAGGAGAGGAGGAGGTTGACTGGGAAATGCCACCAGCTCCACCAGCGGCGGGAAGACGAGTGCCAGCGCCGAGCTGCTAACCGCACCGACCAATGAGATCACCAGATCTAACCGCGGTATCAAGACTGCTGTTATGCCTAAGAAAGAGAGAGATGGAGACAGAAAGGAAGGGAGAAATGAGATTTTTGCAAAAAAAAACACATGAGTGCTGAAACTCAACGCCACGATTCTGACAGGCCTGAGTGGTTTGCCAAGGTGTTGCTAGGGTGTTTCTGCTGGTTGCTATGGCACTGTATGTAGTTGCAAGGGTGTTCTGCAGTTTTGTTATTGTTAACTAAAACTATTAAAAAACATTTTTTGTATTTTAGATGAAAAACTTAAATTCAATATGTTGCCTTGGAAAGTAATTGAAATAAGTACTAAAATTACTCAAAAAAAAAAATAATTGTAATAAGGGGTTTTGGGTGGACAGATCGCTAGAATATGTGTTGGCAGTGGCGTAGTGCAAATCCATGGGGGCCGTTGCGATATTGGAAATATTTCTGTTTCAAACCATGAAGACAAGCCAATGGATATTATACAAGCACTTATGCCGGTGAAAAACTTTCACCAGTGAAAGTAAAAACTGATGGCGCGTTCGGCAACGACGCATATTAGTTGTGGCTAGAAGGGATACAGCTAAAACCGGAAGCTAACAATAAATAAAATGTTCTACCTATTAGATTGTGTTTTATTAACGTCTACACCTACCCCAATCCTAAACCTACCCCTTACAATAATGCAAAAACACAGTGTGACAAAAATTACGCTATATTGATGTGCGCATGCCCAGTAGTTTTAGCTGTATCCCTTCTAGCCTTAACCGCACATATTCTCTCAGAGAAGATGAGAGACGAATCTACTTCATATGCTGATAACGGTATATAACGGTTTTAATTTAATCCCTGAATATTTCTCTTGTGGCCTGAACATGATAAAAATGAGAAGAAACGTATTTCGTGTTACAGGTTGTTTTTGAAAGTCGGTGCTTGAAATAAAGCTGCTCTTAAATTTCATTGATGACTGCAGTGTTAACAATTTTAATTATAGGCCTATAATTCATTGTAAGCTATAATAGACCCATTTTAAAAGATTTTTAAAAGACCTTTTTTAAAACATTTTCAATGAAATGTTTAATAGCCTAACCTTTTGTTATCCTCACAGCGAGTCAGTTATGCGTTGATGCGCTATGACATTATTGCAGAGGAAATTAATTATAATATTAATTGAATAAAAAAGCCCTAATAATAAGAATGTAACAGGCCTACATTAATTGGAAATACCAAATAGTCTTAATACTGACGTTATTAAATGATTTTGATAATATCTCTGGCTATCGTCGATACATGATCATCATCTTTTGACGCAGCCTTATCACGCATATATAAAGTGTTATAGTATGTGTGCACACCAAAAGCGAATGTTGTTATTCGCGCAAGTAGATTACATACAAAGTCAATGCAAAGACGCAAATTCGTGGCAGGCTACGCGATTGCTGCGCACACGCAATATATATGTCTCAATCGAAAAATTTCAACTCCAGCGGAAAATTTGCATGATGCATTGTTGCGGAAACCAATCAGCGAATAGCTTATTGAGACATCCAGGTTGACATGTAAAGATAGCATTACACGATAATTTTATTCAAACGAGTGACACGCGAAACATCCCGTGAGAAATCTAGAATGATAACACTATGCGAATAGTTGATTCACTTTTGGTGTGTACACACTAGTGATGGGCGCGTTCGAAACACTGCTTCACGAAGCTTCGAAACATTTGCGAATCTTTTGTTTCGAATCAGTATTTCGGAGCGCGTATAAAACCGGTCAGGTCACGTGATTTTAGCAAACAAAGCTTTGTTACGTCACTCTGTTTCGAAACTCCGATGGTTCACCACTAGGGGGTGTTGATCTCAAAGTGAACCCATGAACCACTTCTGGTTGCCCAGTTAATCATGTGACATGAAATAAAGAATAATAAAAAAATAAAGAATTCAGGGCCAGATGTTGTGGGTTAAACAAAAGATAAGTTCCCTTTAACACATATGTCTATATAATTTAAAAAATGTGTAAAAACATTCAGTACTTTCAACCTACAAATCACATACCTTAAAAATAACAAAATGAGCTTACGATAGAATTAAATCCACCTCCTTCTCCTGACTGATAACACTACTCTTGCCTGCTGGTTTTTATAGGCCGCTCTAATGAAAACACGTATTTAATTAAATAATTACATAAATCAATTAATTAATTAAATAATTAATTTACTTCATTGTGTGTTAAGGGTTTGATTATACTTAAATAAAACACAACACAAGCACTAATATTTAATAGTATTTAAGTGTTTATTATTTATTTTAAAAAATTGTATTTCTAAAAAAACATTTACATTTGTTTTGTAAGTTTGGTCTGAGTTCTTGATGCTTTTACAACGTTGTCGTCAGCATGTGCTGTTTCAAGTGCTTCGAAACATGGAATCATTTTTCGAAGCAATTGGTTCAATTGATTCAATGCTTCGAAAAGCTTAATTTCTCCCATCACTAGTACACCATTACAATGCAGTTGCTAATGTGTTGTGGGTGGTTGCTATGGTGTTGCTGAGGTGTTGTGAGTGGTTGCTAGGGCCAAAATTTTGCTCAATTTTGCTTGTTTGCACTACAAGGCATGTTGCATATCCAAGTTTTATATTTATAGTCAACACTAATTATAATAAAGAAAAAAAGATGCAGATGGAGACAGATTCTGAGCAGTTTGTGCAAAAAGCACAAATTTAACTTCACAAACTTCACAATTTAACCGCTGTGGTTTCGAACTGCAATGTGTGTGTGTGTTTAACTCTTGATTTGTTTTGTGGTTTGTGGACGGGTGTATGCAGAGGATCGTGGCTGAAGGACTAAATCAAAAATCAATATTCATCTTTTCTGCTGATGTGGAAGACAAAACCCCTTCCCTTTTCGCTGAAAACAAAGGCACAACAATTTATATCCACACACACATACAGCTTTTAGTGGAATGACTGCAAACGTTCCCAGCAGCCTTTTATAAAAAGCACACACACACTCAGGCTGTACACATATGTTTAATTCATGAGACTCGAGTGTGAAGTGTCACACACCTGCTCTCTAAGCTACATCTTCTCCCTGTCTCTCTCTCTCTCTCTCTCTCCTTCTCTCTGTTGCAGACGAAACCAGTAACATGTAACACACACTGGGTTCTCGCTCTCACTCATGCATTCTGAACACTATCTCACAAACACGCATGAACGCTTCAGTTTCTCCTCTCTGTGTGCTACTGCCACCCTCAGGATAGTTTGACAGTTTGGTACATGATATGAGAGATAAACCAACACCAACACATGGACCCATGTTCAAAATAGAAATCTAAAAATGAACAAACAAGAATGCAAATAACCAAATATGAATAATAATTAAGGAATGTGATGTTTTATGGGTACTGATGAAGCAAGCATCACTATTGCTACTTCATAGAGAGTGAATATGAAATAGTTTTAGAGACAATCTAAGTCAGCGTTATCGAGTTTAAAGATAAATATTAAATAAATAATTTCAATTTTCACATTACACAAAACTGAAATTGCATGTCAAAATAACACATTGTCAATATTTTTTGAGACCCCCCAAAATTTCACAAATCACGTTTTCAGGGGAGCCCATGTCTTATTAAGGGGAGCCGAGCTCCCCCTAGCTCCCCCGTAGTTCGCACCCTGGTTTTAGAGACAATCTAAGTCAGCGTTATCGAGTTTAAAGATAAATATTAAATAAATAATTTCAATATGATTACAATTTATTTTGTATTTTTATATTTTATATATTTATTTATTATATTAATTTATTATTAATTAATTTTACATTTTAAACTATCCATAAATTCTATCATTATTAGAATCATAATATCTAAATATATAGTCAGCCTTATTGTTAACTAAAACTGAAATAAAATATTTTTAAAAAATCTTAATAAATGTATTAAATTTTTTTTATTAAACTTCTATTTCAGTAATTTTATTGTGAAATTATTCTTATTTTATTTTATTAGTTTTATTCTTATTTTATTTAATACATTTTCTAACTGAACAAATTTGTTTAGTTTGTTATAGTATTAAAATTAAAATAAAACAAGATAATAATAATAATAATATTAAATAAATCAATAAAAAAATATACAGACATTGATAAAATATTAAAAATGACAAAAATGCACAACAAAATTGCTAAGGAAAATACAAAAATAAAACCAAATTCAAAATATTAATTAAAATATAAGACTATAATAACCATGAAAAGTGCATAAATCTGAGATTACATAGCTTGATCCTTGAGGTGATTGAACCAGCAACCTTTGGGTTACCACTGAGCCTTAACCACTTAACTTCCTAAACAAACACCTCAAAGCCAGAGGCTTCTTGGAGAACGTCTCGGAACGAAGGGCCTCAGCATGCAGGTGCATGATAAGCCCTATCACGGAGCTCTGCGACAGGCCTCAGAGGAGAGCTCCATGATGGGCCTGTCTCCGTAGGGCAGGCAGGTAATAATTCACAGAGCCTCAGGAAAACGGAGATAAATGAGAAGACACTGAATGAGTCCCTCAACTCTGCCCCAGCACTCACACACACCATAAAAGACATACACGGCCACAAACACACTATATAAAACACAGCACCCACACACACACACGTATACCCATACACACAACACGCCCACTAATCTATCACAGCACAGTGACGGCCTTGGGCCAGGGAAAGAGGGAGGAAGCACGTCAGGCACAAAGAACACAGAGAGAGATAAAAGACAGCATGAACGAGTGACAGAATGAGAACTTCATCTTTTTATCTACCAACACGGGCCACAGACCCCGCAACCTTCAGAGCTCATTACCCCGTTCAACAGCACTTCCACGGGCCTCTTCTAGAACTTCCTCAGAAGAGCTACATACAACATCAAATGCTCCAACAGACCTACAAGATGCATGTGATATTTAAAGATAAATGTTAGATAATTAAATTAATATTTTTTTTATTTAATTTTTTTATTTTGCTTTATTTTAAAATTTTAATCTTTAAACTCTGTATTCACAAATTATATATAATTATTAGAATCATCTCTCTAAAAATATATTTAATTAAAGAAAAACACACCTTTTGACCTATGAAAATTTTTGTAGACATTTAAAAAAAAAAAATCCACATTTTAATACGAATAAAAAATATTTGACATTTTCTAAATTTAAATATTTTTTTATTAATTTTAATTTGATATACAAGTAATATATTTAAATTGTATATCATTTTAATTTAAAATCATTTACAATTAATGAAGTCATTAATTTTTCAGGTGTTTGTGACTGCTGGATAAGATTTTATAGACTGCCTTGAAAAAGAGCAATTTGCTCATAAAGCATGAAGGGCTTCAAAATTGCATTTATTCTTATGACTTTTCCCAGCCTTTTAAAAATATAAGCTCTTTTCTTTAAATAATGGTGTCCATGTTTTTTCATGTCGCCATGCTGCAACTTGAAACTTTGAAGAGAGAGAAGGAGCAGCCAGTGACCGACAAGTCAAGACAAAAGAGAGAAAGAAAGTCATGGATGCAATAAAAGAAATCTTATAAGCGGAGAAAGTGATATGTCCAAGGAGACCAGAGAGATGGAGAGAACAAAAGACCGACAAATGAATAGTGAGCAGGGCCACTGGGGAGGGAAGGAAGGAAGAAAGATTGTATCTACATAGAACGATAGATGGCTACAACATCAATCGCTGGAATGGTAGATTGCTAGAAAGATAGGTTGCTAAAAAAATTGCTACAATGATAAATAGCAAAAACAATACCTGGAACAATAGGTGCTTAGAACAAGAGGTAGAATGATAGTTACTATTAATAACAGCTAAAACAATAGCTTTAATAATAGACTAATAGCTGATATGATGTCTAAAACTATAGCTAGAACAATGGATAGAATGATAAAAATAGCTAGAATGACTAAAGAGATAGATGGATAGTGAGCTCAAAGAATAGTTTGAACCATAGGAAAGCTAGATAGATTGCTAGAGTGATAGAATGAACAATGGTTGGACAGAATGGATGGGTGGATAGATGGATGAAGGAATAAACAATGGATGGATGGATGAAGGAATAAAGGATGGACAGAATGGATGAGTGGATGGATGAAGGAATGAACAATGCATGGATGGATGAAGGAATAAAGGATGGACAGAATGGATGGATGGATGGATGGATGAAGGAATGAACAATGGATGGATGGACAGAGGGACGAACTGACAGAATGAAAAATGGATGATGGATTGAATAAACAATGGATGGATAGATGGATGAATGGACTGACAATAAACAATGGATGGATGGATGGATGAAGGAGTGAATGACTGATGAATAGATGGATATTATTAACAATGGATGGATGGAATGAACGATGGATGGATGAATGAATGAAAAATGGATGGATGGATAGAATGATGAATGGATGGAATAAACGCTGGATTGATAGACTGACAACCGTTTAGAAATCATTGGCAAATGACTCTAATATTAAATGTATATTCTGACCTTAGATGCATTTAAACCTGTTGAAGGGGACTCCAACACAATATTAGGACACTTTAAAATACCATATGACCTGCTCTTTAACAGTTTGCGTCACACAGTCTCGCTCCATTTTTCTCCGTTTCTAAAACAAAAACACACACCATCACTCACTTTTTCATTCACTCTCTGGCGTGTGCACACAATTCCTGCAACATTCTCTCTTCCTCTCTTCCTTCATAGCAAACGCTCTTTCACTCGTACCTGCATGACTGACGGTGTTAAACAAATATTTATATTCATATTTTAGGTCTCTGGGTGGTTCACGGTTCAGTGGCGGACTCAATTTTTCCAAAGATAAAAAACATATATCAAACTAATCCAAAAGCCTTCAGGTTTACAATGGTTCACAGCATACATCCATCATTTTGGGAGGGGAACAAACCTCCACTATCTCTCCTTTCATCACCAGTGAATACTCGAGGCAGGATTAGGATGAGGAGAAGATAGGAATAGGGAAAAAATGAGGGAAGCAAGGAACAGAACGAACGGATAGATGGGTGGGTGGAAGAAGTGCAGAGAAAACAGCAAGGAAACAAAAAGGACGATGAATAAGGAGCATAACAAGATGAACTGCCTACATACTAAACTAATGGTGCAGATCTATTTTTTAAATGGAATTTATTGATTAAAATACCAGTATGCTTGCAATACAACTTTTCTCTTCTTTTGATTCACCATTTTTTGTTTTCACTGAGCTTGAGACAATGGATTCTGGGATTGCTTTCAGCATAAAAGACATGACTATGATGCCTTAAAATGCTGTTTATTGAGGCGGTTCACAGTGTTTTGGATGAGAGCATGTGTAATTTGATCTTAAGTCGCTGTGAGCTGCGATCAATCACTCGAGATGTTTCTGACAGTGAACGCAGAGGATGCTTCAAAGACTCCAGCCAGGAGTTTAATATTGGTTCTCTGAATTTAACTCCACTATAGCAGAGTGCTGCGATAACTAAACTGAACTGACGTAACACTCAGATGTGATGGATGGGACTTTACATTTGTATTTTTCAGCTTTTGGAGAGAGTCGTATTGGAACATGATGCAGGCCGGAATTGAACCCGACTTTCCCACATGAGCACTAAAGTTCAATGTGTATCAATTTATTTGTATTGATTTATACTATTTTATTATACTTTTATTCAGCAAGAATGCATTAAAGTAAATCAACCGTAAAGGCATTTATAATTCAAATGTGAACTAAACGCTGTTCTTTTGAACTTTCAGAGAAATTCACATCACCTCTCTAATGACTGGCGGACTTTTTAAGTGCGTATGTGGCATATTTACCAGGAATCATGTGGAAGGTTAAGCGTGATGCTTCCTTTGATGTCGTCTCTGAAGCGGAGGTATCCCAGCGTCGCCAGGGTCACGTAAAGGACGATGATGACGCCCATGCCGATGTTGAGGGCTTGAGGGAATCGCTTCGGTTCCCTCATTTGATTCTCCAATGGAAGAACCTACACAAAGCAAGCGAGAGAGAAAAATACAGAAGATTGAATAGTAGGCGGTGAAGCTTTGCTCCAGGCGTCACATGCACAAAGCCAAGTCCAAAAAGTAGTGTGCAAGATGATGCTGTCTTCTAAGAAGCCTTCCTTTGATCAAATTCAGAAACAAATCATGGGTCTTGTAGCTCAAACAGCTAAGAATGACGCTTGCAACGGCAAGGTCATGCGTTCAGTTCCCAGGGAATGCATGAATCAGGGAATCTGCAAGTATCAGCACTTTAGTTTAATATGCTTTAATAAAATTTTCAAGAACTTTGGGGGGAAAAAAAAAAAGATTTTTTTAGTTCTAATGGTGAAAAGAAAGAAAAAAAATCCACTTTTGTCTTTCCCTGACTTTCCAGAAGAGGAAAAAATATAGAAATGTTATTATGGGGAAAGATGTAAAATGCATATTATTATTTTTTATTTTATTTTAATATTGCACTGAAAATATGCAAGATGTTTAGGATAAAAGCAGATATATTAATGTAAATGTAAAAAAAAAAAAAAAAATAATAATAATAATAATTTAAAAAATCCCATACTGCATTGCAACTAGCTCAGTGTAAAAAATTAATTAATAAAGATAATAATGATAATAATAATAATACATTTAATACCAAAGGAAAAAACAATAGAAATTTTGAATGTTTTTGAAAGAAATCTTATCACCTGTAGTTTTTTTTATACATATAATGTAAAAAGGGGGGAAAGGGTTATGAAAATGTAAAATTAGACCATAGAAAAAGCAAGAAGCATACTGTTCAAGAGTTTGGGGCTGGGAAATCTATTATGCTCATCAAGACTGCATTTATTTGATCATAAACACAGTAATATTTTAAAATATTACTACAATTTCAAATTAGTGTGTTATAATTATACCTAATTTCTTCAATACCAAAGGAAAAACTGATAAAAATAAAAAATTACATAGGCAACGTCAAATCAAAATCACGTAAATAAAAGCTGATTCATCATCTCACCACTCCAATTCCCTCAAAGGCAAATATAGCTGTTCCAAAGAAGAAGGCAAACTTCCTCCACGTGGAGGCGTACGGCAGACGTCTGGGATCACTCACATCCTACAGACAGCCAGAGATGGTAAAAGGTATGATATAGTTTCACATCAGGATTATAATTGCAGTCTTTCTTTGTAGCATAGTAGAGGATGAAAGACACACACACACACATTACAGGAACAATGCATGTAAAGATCCAGTGTCAGCCGCCCACAGCCCTGACAATCTGATGCATACAGAAAAATGCCTCCAATGTGATTTGGTGGCTTCTTGCAATTTGTGAGCATTTGCATGCAAAGGCTTGTATCAGTCGTGTTCCTAGGCTGAACAATGAGGATTCCTGACTACAAAAGTGGATATATGAGACCACACATACACACAAGGTCAGAAGAAAACCAAAAGTGCAATATGGCAATATGGTCGAAACTGCCACATGTGGTTGCCGCAAGCCCGCCCGCCTCCGCTCACTCAAGGCTGCCATTTGTTTCGTTGTGAAAGCGAAACTACTTTGTTTGGTCTTCCAAAAGAGGACACGACTAGAAATCAGTGGTTAAGTTGTATTTACAAAACTGTTCCAGAACAGTTCAACCCAAATATTCAGATGTGTGCAGCACATTTTATGGAGGACTGTTTCCTGATCCTGGTAGACTACAATGCCGGCTATTCTGACTCACAGACTGTAAGTACGTTTTTTATATTTAAAGAATTTGCCACTGATGATTCAAACGCGAGTTTTGAGCAGTGTAGAGTAGCGTTTGTAGTTTGTCATTAATAATTATCATTATTATTATTATTTTATTTGGTTATTAACTTGATTTATAATTTTACAGTTAAATATCACAATAATATTTCTTATTTTAATCATTTTGTTTAATAATAATAATTATTGTTATTATTATTTAGTACATAATTTTATAAAATACTTGATTTTACAGTGAAATAATACAATAAAAATATTACTATTTTAATAGTTTTGTTTAGTAGTAATAGTAGTATTAATAATAATTATTATTATTATTTTATAGTCATATTGCTATATAATCACAGCAGACCTGGAGCTTTATAAAAAATGTATTTTAAATCGCAATCACAATTTTAATCTGGGAAAAAAAAAGCGCACTTCAATTTTCCCTCAAATCGCGCAGTTCTCACACACGCACACACACTTACGTTGAGTATATATGAGAAGATGAGGACGAGGCTGACAGCCATACAGAGGTTGGCGATGGCGGAGAGGGCAGCCATGTTCCTCAGGTCTCTGATGAAGGTCAGAACGATGATGAAGGGAAGGAGGAAGACCATGTAGAGCCGCAGGTCCAGCCCTGTAGCCACGGCGACAGAAGACGCTGTGGGGGAGACGGCACCCTCCTCTGAGCTGTTGGAGTATAACAGCACAGTCTCCACAGAGCTGTTCAGATGAGTTCCCTCCATCACCTAACACACACACACACTGCTGTGACTTCAAGAGTTTGATTGGCTGTTACATTCAAAGAAGAGCTGTGATTGGCAGCTGCTGGTCTTCATTCTGGAAATGTGTCTTTCTATTCATTTTCATTGGCTCCAGCTCCATCACATAATCAAAATCAGTTAATTGATGGAAAAAATGAACTTCTGGAGCTCTACTCTCTGCACATACCTGTTTAATGTTCTCAGCCAGGAACACAAAATAAACGCTACAGAAGCCCAGCTGAGTCAAAACCAGGAAGAAATTCACCAAGTGCCTGGAAAAGATATTGATTTGAGTGAAAATTACATTTATTAAAAACTGTTTTCTTTATTGAAATAAAGATGAAATAAGATCAAATTTAAATAGATTTAAATTACAAAGGTAAATTTCCAACTACTGGAAATGTTGAAATAATAAATTATATTAATTTAAGTAAAAAATTTTAAATTAAAAATAAACCTAAAAACTGTCAAATGGAAATAAATACCTGAAATAAAAACAAAACTACTTAGAAATATATTTTTTAAAAAGTACAAAACTAAGTACAAAATTAAGAAAATATGAAATAAAAATAATAATGAAATTTTATAAAAAAATAAAAATACACAAATAATAAAATATATTTAATGTATCTAAAAAAATATGAAAATAAAAGCTAATTCAAAATATTAATATAAACTATAATAGAATATAAATAATGCTGACATATTTAATGATTAAGTAAGTAATACTGAAATTCCATCATGAGTTACTCAACCCTATGTTGTTCGAAACCCATTTTTAAAAAAACATTTAAAGATCAAGGTCTTTTTCATGAATTAAGATTTTTAAAAAGATGCCAAAGCACCAAAAAGTGTCAAAAAATGAATAAATAAATAAAAAATAGCGATGTGATTTCAAGCTTTTTCACAAACAATCTTATGTGTTTGTAAACACATGAGGGTGAGTCGTTGATGACATAATAAATAGCTTTATTTGCTATATTAACTATTAATACTTAATATTATTTAATGATAATAATAATAATTTTTATTATAATTATTATTCTTATATGTTTATATTTTATTAATTGTTTTGTATATTTTTAATTACTTTTTTATATGCAGTATTAATAAAGTATAATAATGTACTTATAGTATAGAATTGAATTTTCAGTATGCAGTATATCATTCAAAACAGTGAATGATGAGAGAATTTTCAGCTATATAAAATGCTAATTTATTTACATTTTTGTTCATTTTAATTCAATTTAATATTATTTAAATATAATAATAACAATAATAATAATAATAGTTATTATTATTATAAATTTTTTTAAGTAGTAGTAGTAGCATCTTCATCATGGGTTTATGTTTCAGTATGCATGATATTATCTTTGGACAGAGATAAAAATGAGGCAGCATTTCCTGGTAGGACAGATTTTTTTAAGATTCCGGGCGCGAGGTCTCTCTGTGTGTGGGACATCAGATCACTGCAGGCAGCGTCCTGTCTCTCCGCTCTCTAATGAATATATTCATAGGCGGAGGGTGAACCAACTCCAGGGTAAGGCTAAAAGCAGCCAAATGTATTAAACATCATAAACCCGTCTTTTTAGGCAAGAACCAGACATGGATGTCATGTAGGCTAAAAAAATGTTTTAATGGGACTGAATTTGTATTTAACGTGATTACAATTTAATAAAAATTTTAGAAATTGCTAATTATATAACGTTTCCTTTCCACGGTTTTAAAACAGCGAATAAATTATATATAGAAAGTGACATTATCACTAACATTGATCTATCGCGAGTTTAAGCACTCTCAAAAAAACAAAACTATGGTTATAATCACTGAAGCTGTATACACTGTGAAATGAATCTCTTACTTACATTGTACGTACATCTGCGCTTTGTTATGATGAGAGAATTCGCAAGAGTCCGGAATTCAGTCAGCGAACGCGCACGCACTCAACAAAACTGATGAGTTTGAACGATGTAGTCATGTTACGTTCGTGAACGAATTGTTCTTTTTGAACGAATCTTTTAGGTGAATGAATCGTTCTTGTTCACGTAATCCTGTTTCATCCTGTCAAAGAATGATTAAACCTCGAGCCAATAGCCTTCGAGTATGAGATGTGATCGAGCATGTGATTTGTTGAATGTAGTGAACGCATACGCCCTTCACTGAACGAGTTTCTTTTGAGTCTGAACGAGAGAGATCTTGAAATGAATGAGAGTGTACCGGGTCAGTCGGCCATTTAGCATGTGATTCAATCTCGATCAGCAATCAGCAGAAAGCGGATGCAAAGCGCAGT